CTCACCTGATGTCTCCCAGTAGGCACTCAGGAGCAGGAAATCTGGTGCAGGTGGCCTGGCTCTAAAGGTGTGCTCTTAAGGAGCATGGCCTCTAGTAAGTCATTCAGAGTATGTGGAAGCTCTGTCCCCCCACATCTGACTCTTCTGTATCTCCTGTCTGCCGTTTGCCTGGGGTACCCTTTCTTAAAGACTCTGGTCAGGGGTCTGACTCGCTCTGCCTGTCCCCGTCCTTGGAGCTTGACTAGGGTAACCTAACCTATACATAATAGCCTAGAACACACTAACTTTTCTTCAGAATTCATAACTTTGCTTAGATTTACCTGTAAACCTGTTAGGTAGCATAGGTAGTAAACCAAGGCAGGGAGGGGGAGGGAGACATGTCTTACTCACTAACTCTGCACCCCTAGCCTGGTTCGATAATATTGCCAGATGTTCCGAACATCATAAGAGCACCATGATAGCACAGGAGGAGGGGAGCCCTTGAAGTTCTGAACGTACCATTCTCACTCTCTGGGAAGGAAAGCCTTTGGGATGATGTATTCACCCCAAGGCCTAAAAGAGGGAAGAGTACAGGGTCATAGTCCCCAAAGAAAAAGCTCATAAAACAGTTTTGGTTGATTGCCTGCCTCTGGTCACTATCTGTTTTATGAGAGGGTCCACAGTACTCAAAGAAAAAGCCTGTAAATAACTTTAATTAACTACCTTCTGTCACGTTATCTGTTTTATAACAAGAAGAACAAATGTGGTCTGTAGTAAAATAAGAATTCTGGGTTAACAACCCTCCACACATGCCTAAGTTTAGGTGGTCACTTCCCTTCTTGGGGCGGGGGTCGGGGGGCGGAAATTGGTACCACCTTTACCCATCAATCAGTATGTAACTTCCTTGCCCCACCCCGCCAGCCACATGAGTCTTTAGGACAAAGGACCTGGTGCCTTGCCACCCTCACCTTGTCATTACCTGTGCCCCTCTCCCCCACCTTGGCAAGGCCCGTTCTCTTCCATGAGAGTGTGTCACTAATAACCTTTGCTTGAATGCTAATGGACTTGCTGATCTTTAATTTTTTACTGTTTTGGCAAAAAGAACTTTTTCCTGCAACCCACCAGATTTTATAAGTTTTGTGTACCATGTCCTGTAATTTGCTAAGAGTTTGATTGGCAGTCTGAGACTGAATTAGCTAAACTTCCTTCCATACCTACCCCACCCCTGACATTGATGGTTGCCAAAGCTGTTTTTCAGGAGCAAGCCCAGGATGGGGTGGGAGGTGGGAGGGTGTGGTGTCGGAGGCGGGCGTGGTGATCCAGTTGAAACCACTGGAGACTGGCTGAAGCAGCCAGTCTGATTACCCTTTTCTTATTATACCCTCATTATAATATTAAAATCTCCTGCTAGGGGGAAGAAAGATTTTCCTGTTTTTGAACATGCAGTGTATGTATGGTCATGTGTTGCATTGTGGGCTGAGACACTGCTACCATTACTAACAGCTAACAGTCATTGCTACAGCTGTTTTTCAGGACTGCGCATCCCCACCTATACCTCTGATGATGAAGCTCACTTCAATGTTTACACATGAGTTCCCTGAATTAACATGAATTCCATCCTTTCTTGGGGACACAGGGCTTTGGGAAATGACTCCAGTATGTCCTTGCTGGCTTGCAATAAAGTTCCTTCTCATAGAATCTTCTCAGAGTTGTCTCCTGGCTGGCTACTACTGAGTATTAGACCTGGTTTGGTATGGTAACACTAGCACTTTTTGTCTATTTTGTTTAACTACATAGTGTTCTATTTGTTGGAATATCTGACTCCTTGTGTTATAACCTTCTGGAGAACAAGGACTTTATTTTTTCTGGAAAATTTCAAATATTTGCAAAGATAAAGCTAATAAAATAATGAAGCTCATCGCATTCAGCAATTATTTCATGGCCAATCTTGTTTCATCTATATCCCCTTCCCCAAACTGGATTGTTTTGAAGCAAATCCTAGACATTTCATCTCTTAATACAGGGGTGGGCCAAAGTAGGTTTACAGCTGCGAGTACATCAAGCACAGAGTTTATTCTTGTATTATTATTAATTATTGTATTATTTTCCATATGAACAATTGTATACCTACTTTTGCCCATGCCTGCATTTCAGTTGTATTATTAACATAAAAGGACTTTTTAAAGAACATGACCATGCCCTGGCTGGTGTGGCTCAGTGGCTTGAGCATAGGCCTGCAAATTGAAAGATCACTGCAAATTGAAGGGTTGCTGGTTCAATTCCCAGTCAGGGCACATGCCTTGGTTGTCGGCCACGTCCCCAGTTGGGGGTGTGTGAGAGGCAACTGATCGATGTTTCTCTCCCTTTCTTTCTCACTTCCTTTCCCTCTCTCCAAAAGTAAATAAAATCTTTAAAAAAATAACCACAATGCTATTATCACACTAAAATTAATACATCCTCAATATCATACAATATTCAATGTTCAGATTTCTGCAGTTCTCATCATTTTTCCCTTCCCTTCCCACCCTCCCTTCCCTTCCATTTTTCTTTATGCCTTTATAACTCCTTGTATGGATATCTACTTTCAATTTATCTTGGGTAAATATGTAGGAGGGGGATTGCTGGACTGTATATTTAACTTTCTAAGAAAATGCCAAACTCTCTCCAGAGTGGTTGTTTCATTTTATATCTCCACCAGCAATACACAAGAATGCCAGTTGTTTCCCATGCTCACAACACTTGGTATCATTAATGTTTTTATGATATATGCCAATAATTTTTTGAGCACTGCTTGATGCCTCGCACAATGTATTATTCATGTTATGTTTATCTATGGAATGATCTCTCAACTCTCTAGTTTTTCAGTTCTATGTGAGTTTTATGTCATTGTTTTATAACAGGGAACATATGTGAGAATCACCTGGGAGTTTTTCAAAATATATAAGCCTTTGTTTCACTCCAGACACACTGTATCAACTTCTTCAGGGATGGTTTATAAGCTTATTATGTATGTTGAAAAAATTCCCTAGGTAATTCTGATTTATACTCCTGGCTAAAAATCACTTTTAGGCTCAAAAAACCTCTTTTAGTTTCTACTACCCATGATAGCAGAGGTTCTCCATCCTGGCTACATGTTAAAAAGTATCTAGAGAGCTTTACAAAATGACCAATGCCTGGGTCCCATCTCACACCAATTAAATTGAAATCTGTTGGTGAGGGCTGAGTAGCAGTTGTTTTTAAAATTCCCCATTCTAACGAGTAGCCATATTTCCCATTGGATTTCTCTGTGTCTACTCCCGTGGCATTTATCCTTTTCTATTTTTAAATTATAATAGATTTTCATGTCTTCTCTTGTCTTAGGTTCATGTTCCTTAAAGTAGGAACCTGGTCTTTCTCATTTCTGTCTTTTTCATGGGGTCTAACACTGAGACTTATAGCACAGTAGGTGCTTTATAGAAATTTCATGGACACATACATTTGTCACCAGGAAGAGCCTCAATCACAGGTAGGGTGTTTCCTGAATCTCAGGTGTACACGTTAATGCCATAGGTCCCTGTCCTCCCCGGGGCCCCAGGTGTTGCTTGTGGTTACCAGTGTGGGTAACTCCTCTGTGAATAACAGAAGGATCATTGCCCTGTGTGATGTGTTTTCAGGCATAGCATTGGGGCAAGGTAGTCTATGTGTGTATGGGGTAGAGGGGCAGGGATGGGTAAGGAGAGCAATCTAATTAGAATGGAGGAACTTTATTAGAGAGTAGTGGTAAAGAGGATAAGGACAATTAGTAGAGAGGAAGAAATTCGAACTTACCTGATAGGCCAAAGTAGGCCATCATAGATTCCTGAGTAGAAGAGTGAACCAGGTTTTAGGGAGGTAATGAGGTTGTTGTATGCAAGGCAGACTTCGGTAGACACCACAGACAAAAAGCCAAGCTGTACTGCTGGCAGTTGTTGAGAGCCTGGGTTATTTAGGTTTATGGGAATGGAGAGAAGGACACAACTTAGAGATGTTAAAAAAGAATCAACAGGCTTTGATGGTGTATTGAATCTGGGAAACAAAAAGCAAGGCCTGGGGAACAGTGGTGTCACTGGGACAAATGAGTGAGCTGTGGAGGAAAGCCACATCAAATGGGGAGTAATCTCAGAAGATATTTGGATGTGAGTGTCCTGAGGTCTGGGAAGCAGTCGGGGCTACAGATGGAGATGCAGGAGCCATCGGCACAGGGGCTGCTGAAGCTGGGGGAGAGGGTGGTGTAGAGGGAGCCAGCAGGGTCTGAGCACTGACTGGCGTGTGGGGGAGCAGTTCACGGGTGGGAGCAGGGAGACGACACTCGGGAAGTTTTTTGTGGTCTTAGATGTAAAAGTGAACAATGGGAGGAGAGTGAAAAGATCTTCAAATTTTGCCAAGAGGTGGATACTGATTTTATGCTGCTTCCAGCATCTTGGGGATGGAGGAGAAACTCAGTGATGAGAAAGGGGGAAGGGCGCATGCTTAAATCCCTTGGAAACGAAGGAAATGAGAAACAAGCCAATACTTCTTGGAATTAATAAATGAAGGTTATTCAGGTTAGAAGAGCTGTGACCCTATGAGGAGGCAGGAAGAAAGGACCTGGGCACAAGGAAGATAGAAGGTGCTAGAGAGATTTCTACCAGGATGGAACCCATGGACACTCCTGTGAGTGAAGCTCTGTTGCTGCATCTGATTCACATGAGCCTCCGGTGTGGGAGGTGTTATTTGTCCCTAATAAAGAGGCCAGGAAATTTTTTACTCATGAAATCATCTTCCTTCCCAGAGGAAAATAGGCAGTTTCTTCCAGGCAGGTTGCAGCCATGGGCTGTTGTTACTAGATAGACTCACTTTGTTAGCTGGTGCGCAGATGAATTTTGCTCATTCTCTGATCACTAGATCAAATATCTGTAGACTTGGAAATAGGCTTTGACTCCCAGTCCAACAATTTCTCTTCCTTCTACCTGTAAAGAAGATATTGTCTAAAGTGGTATCAGCTGTGAGGCAGCATTTGATGTCTGATATATAATTTTTTATTATAAATATAGAACACATTTTACAAATAATTTGAAAGTGGCGTTAGCCAGGCAAAATTAAATAACACAGAATAGCATGGATGAGGGGAAGTATATTTGGTTTGTGTCAGGGTTAGAAAACCCTGAAAGAGGTACCTGAGTACAGAGAATTCTCAACTCACCCTCCCTGAGGGGCCTCTTACACAGAGCATGAGATTGAGTAATCAATATTGAATGAATTCGTTGTCTCAACAGCCCCAAAGAGAGTCATCTGTGTAGAAGTCTGGGAGGGCAGTGCATCTGCCTCTCCCCCTGTTCTTCCTTTTTATTCTGATACGTTCCTCCCCTGGGAGGAAGTGAATTTCAGAGGCTGCTCAAGGAGCCTGGGGCCCAGTGTGATCCTCCTGTGTCCTTGCGAGAGTCAGCACCAGGGCAACTTTCTGGGTTGTAAGCAGTGTCAACAGCATGATTGACAGTGCTCGTTTCAGGGTGCCCGCTTCTCAAGGACCAAGTACACCTCCGCAGAGGCCAAGCTTCCCTGGGAAAGTGAGTGGGGCCGATGGACAGGACAGGCACAGGCAGAAACATGGAATCGAATGGTGGCGATGATCGGCCTGAAATGCCTGGAAACTGATTTAGACCCACTTCTAGCCGCGATCGAAGAACCAGATTCTGCTCTTCTATTTGGAGCCCCTGATGTAGCCGCCTTGAGGAACTCCTGGCCCAGGGGTCCTGAGGGATTCTGGTGGCTTCTTTCGCCTTAATGCCCTCAGATTGTTTTGCACAGCAAAGCCAAGTAAAGATAACCCCTTGCACATAAATAAGGAGTTAAAAAATTAAAATGGCGGAATGTCTCAGAAACAGGAAAAGCCCCAATACCTCAAATTGTACATTCTTTAATAATTAAATAATCTCTGAAAGGAATCTCTGATTCCTTTCTGAAATTTGCAGCAGATTATCTTAATGAGGAGCTGACTGTCCCCTAAAATTGCAACCTCCTCCCTCTGTAGGCATTTCCTTGAATAAAAGCACTTGAAGTTATTAAAACATACTATTATTAAAAATGCACAAAAGCAGTTTTTTTGGTGTGTTCTTGGAAGACAGCCTTGCCAAAGGGCTTAGGTGGCATCTAGCCAAGCGGCAAGCTGTTTAGGCTCTGGTCCTACAGGTAGACACCCTGACAGCAGGCAGAGGTATAGAATTTTTCTGCTGAGAACTGGTTACACATTTGTTTTCCAGTGTGTGGTGGGTTCTCACTGGGCTTTGGAGAGATAAGAGACGCTTTTACTTTTCCTCTCTCTTCTTCTCTGGCACATGTGTTTTAGTAGATAAGGACATAACTCTCAGGGTTATGGCCAATAGGACAAGGCTGAGGCGGAAAGGAATGACTATGCACTGTATAGGTAAGTTTAGAACAAGTCCAAGAAAAGGGGGAGGAGCAGGAGGTTCTGTCAACCCTCGCCCAAGGTCTGCTTTGCCAGATTTCAAAGACAGGGAAGGCTGGGCTTCCTACAGGCTCCCGGATGTACCTCTTCAACCGTGAAGGGAGGGGCTGTGCCCAGGAGGTGCACCTGGAGGTGCCTCTTGAGGAAGTGAAAGCGGGGGTGGAGAAAAAGGCTTCTTCTTTCCCTGAGAGTAAAGGGATCTCCTGGTTATGGGCACGAAAAGCTTGGAATAAGCCAGCAGTGCAGTGAGCAGGGCAGGTTGCATTACTTCTTTTTTACTTCTGAATAAATCATTTCTGTGGCTGTTGAGGATGGGGAGGCTGAAGTTGGTTTCTTTGATTCCTGGGCATTGAAGTTCAGGGAAGAATATGTAACTTCGGGGATCTGAAAGGCATGAGCAGCAGTTAAGTCAGTGTCATAGGTCAGGCCCTCACCTGGTCTGGTGTGGTTCAGCACCACCTGCTCTCACCCTTTTGAAACTTCTAGCCTTGGAGAACGGCTTTTATTACCCATTTTTTCTGCTTGCTGACATCCTTTGAATGAACGATCATTAGAAGACATTGACTATGGTATTCAAACAACGGAATACGATGACACAGCAATAAGAATGAACAACTATAAATGGTTACATCTATATGGGTGAATCTCACAAAACCATTTTAAATGAAAGAAACCAGACGCATATAAAGATATACTGTGTCTTTTCATGTAAGAGCATAAACAGGCAAAACTAGTGTAGTGTCCTGGAAGTCAGGATAGCAGTTACTCTTTGGAGGGAAGGGACTGGAAGTTAACATTTTGCAGGAGGATGACGTGTTTTGTTTCTTGATTTTCAGTGCTTCCTACAAGCATATGTTCAATTCATGATAATTTATACATTGTTAACATACACATGATTTAAGCACTTTTAAATATATATGTGCGCTCTATCAAAAGGCTAAATGAGAGAAACTCAGTAAAATTATTTTAAAATAAAAGAACTAAGACCTCAGACCCATTGGAATGGATGTTATTCTTTGACAGGAAGAGCAGGGTCGCCTGAAGGTAGAGGAGAGGGAATGACCTAGTGACTTCCCTGTGCAGGGCACGATGCTGGTGCTTTGCATTTGTTATCCCATTTCACTCCTTCAGCTTCTCTCTGAAGTAGGCAGCACGCCCATTTTACAGATGACAAAGTGGAGGATCAAAGAGGTTAGGTTACTTGCTTAAGGTCACAGAGGATTCCAACACAGGATAGGGATAACTCCAGAGCCCGCGTTCTTGCGTGAGGTAGACCATGGAAGTAATTAACCTATACACATTTGTTGCTGCATTGAGGAGCTCTGACCCAAACTCGGTCATGTTTGTGTCTTCATGAGTAACCCATTTTACACAGAGATATTTCCATGAGAAAATGAGCCAGTGAAACTGGCTGTGCTTACCTTGTTAGGTGAGTTGTCAGAATGGCCCTGACCTGGGGAAGTGAAAGAAGAGTTACCAATCCATGAAAATGCAAATCTGGCTTATGGTGGCACAGCCATCATGTTCCTAAACTGTTGTGATTTCCAGCTGAAGGAGGTGGCAGGTGGTGGGAGGGTGGTCCATGACCACTTGAGGAATGTATTTCCCTCAGAGCCTGCGATTTAGGCCCAGGGTGTTAGTAACAGGGCAGGGTGGTGAGGTGGCGGGAGTAGAGCCTCAGTCCACTTCTGAAGATTTATTCCAGTTCACAAGGCCTTGCTTTTTGCACAGGTGTGTTCCTTAGCACCAGGTGCTAGTGGCAAGGAGGGCATTGAGACCCACAGCACCCAGAGCACCACAAGATAGGGAAAGTCTTGCCAAAGGAAAGTGCCCGCATCCACAACAGAGGCAGGGAGGAAGGGGTGAGGTGGTAATGGCTCCTGGAAACATGCCCATCTTACTTAGGCCTCCCTGGATGGCTGAGTCTCACCCAGGGCTTGGTCTCAGTGGAATCTTTTGTGCCTAGAAGGGTGTGAGGACCCACATCAACCTAAAGTTGGGAAATGGAGATTTCAGAAGGTACTGGGTTTTTGGGAATCCAGGACTCCCTGCTAGGGCAGGGCAGGTGGTGGAACACACAGTCCTCACTGGGCGATGGCTTTACTTACTGTGGTTGGAGGCTGAGGGTTTGTGCTCTGTGACATCGTGCAGGTCGCTTGCCCTAAATAAATATCAGAGACTGTGACTGCTATTCGGAACCATAAGATCTTTGCTCCTTGAAGTAGGAAGGACACTGTCAGCAGATAATTCCTTGGGGCTCCTCAGTGCTTATTTATATCAGGGTCAGGACTGCCTCCCCCTCCTCAATGTACCCGCCACCCCTCTAGTGTGCACCGCTTCCCTGCTGACCTCACGCTCACATCGGTCCCTTCTTTATCAGCTGCTTCTGAGCCTGCTTTTACCCTGACATCTTTCCCTTTTCTAGGTAGATGATTTTTTTTCTCACTTTATTTATTGTTCAAGAGGCCTTTGGTTTCTGCTTTTTCTTAGTTTCTCTTCCTGTCCTGCCCCTCTCTTCTCCTTCTCTTCCTGTGACTGATAGAGCACACGACTCACTTTCTCCTGCTCTTTTCATTTTCATTTGTTTTCTTCTTGGACCTTGTTTCCCTGACTGGGGGACAAAGGGACATAACTGGGCCTGCCTCTTTAAACTAGATGGGGATGAGAATAACCGTGTGCTAGGGAGAGTGGGGTATAGGAAGCTTGAAGACCAGGAAAGAAGAGGCCACAGAGGTTAGTGCTGAGAAGCAGGATGACAGAGAGGAGGAGGAGCAGATCCAGGCCCAGAAACAGAGGGGAAGTCTCCATTTCTCTCCCAAGCATGGAGGTTAGCTTTGGAGAACATGGGACAAGAGGAAAGGCTATCATACCCTCCAGTCTTCCTGATACACAGAACATACACCAGGGCTGCTATCAGGGCTAGCCCGGCCAGGACTCCGATCACGATGCCGGCAATGGCTCCATCTGAGAGACCTCCTGGTGAATCTGTCATGGATAGGAAAGAGAAGAATGAATGAAGGTAACATTCTTTTATAGTGGGGTGCCCTGGGAAACAACTCTCAACCTGAAGAAGTCTCTACTTGTTCCTCCTAGGAATAAATTTTGTGTTGGGAGGTTTCTGTGTCGTCATTAACTGACTATATCCTTGTAATATTTTTCTCTCACTGTATTTGTACATTGTTGGTGAGACTTTCCTCAATTCCATCCTGGCCTTTCTGCACTCATTTTAAAAATATTTTTGAAGCTTTGGAAATGTGAGAAAGGCTGATTGCTATTTTTGTAAGTTGTAACTTTCCACCTTTTCATGGTTGCATGTTTTCCTGTGTACCAGGTGTGGCTGCCTTGAACATGTGCCGCTCAGGTTTCCTGTGGTGGGGATTCAGTTGATGGAAGGTAGCGAATTAACCACCTCCTTTGCACCAAGGCCACATTTCCCAAGGCTCCCAGCAGGGGTATGAAATAAGCTTGATTCTGTGAGAAACAGTTTCCTCCTGTGGGTGACTTAAGCTCAAGGTCTCCCTGTCAGCCTTGCAGATACTCTCTTTGAACTGCACTGCAACCTAACACTGTCTTGTTTTTCTCCTTCACAGGAATCAGATCTGCACCGTGGTCTGAAGATCCTGCCAGGCTCCTCCAGCTTCCATCCCACTTTCCTTCACAGGCATTTTTTCCAACAAATATTTTGTGTGTCTAATCCTATGTTGGCTATATCTCAGGGGATAAAAACTAACAAACTAGGCTTGACAGTTTGCACTCAACTCTTTTTTTTTCTTTTCCTATATTTAGTCAGTAACCATGTTCCAGTGATTTTTGTGTGCAATGCTCCTTCTACTCCCCAAATATAAATCACTTTGCATCTGTTTGTTTTTTTGTTTCTGTTGCCCATACTAGTGAACTCAAGACTAATGATTAATATTCATGTTGGCTTCTGTTAGGGGATGCTTATTATGTGCTAGGCTTTGTGCTAAATCCTTTACTTACATCTCACTTGATTAATATAATAATTCTGTCTGATAGATATTTTTACTTTACTGATGAAAAAAATTGAGGCTCTACAGTGGTGAAAAATTTACTCAAAGTCATATGGCTAGGAAGAGATGGATTGGATATTTGGCTCTAGGACTACTTGACTTCATTGAGGCTAATCAAAATAGTAATAATAACAGCTAACCCTTATGGAACATTTCTACTGTGTGTCGCATTTTGCTAAGGGGTTAACTGATTATTACATTAAATATTTAAAACAATATCATGAAACAAGAGCTCTTATTGTAATTTTCAGTTGTGGAATATGAGGCTCAGAGAAGTTAAGAACGTTGTGCAAGAAATTTGTAATCATAAATGCTTACTTTATAAAAGAAGAAAGATCTCAAATCAACAGCTTAACCTTACAACTTAAGGAACTAGAGAAAGAAGAACAAAATAAGGTGAAAGCTAGCAGAAGAAAAGGAATAATAAAGATTAGAGTGGAGATTAATCAAATACAGAATGGATAACAATAGAGAAAAATCAATGAAACCAAAAGTTTGTTTCTCGAAAAAAAAAAAAGATTAACAAATCAACAAACTTTTAAGTAGATTGACTAAGGAAAAAAGAGAAGATTTAAATCACTAAAATTAGCCCTCACTTGTGTGGCTCAATGGATTGAGTGCTGGCCTTCAAACCAGTGGCTGCAGGTTTGACATACCTTGGCTGCGGGCCAGGTCCCTAGTGTGGGGCTCACGAGAGGCAACTGCAAACAGATATTTCTCTCCCTCTCTTCCTCCCTCCCTTCCCCTCTCTCTAAAAATAAATAAATAAAATCTTTAAAAAAATAAATCATTAACATCAGACATGAAAGTGGGTGGGTACATTACTACCAATTCTATAGAACAAATAAGAATTATAATAGTACCGTGAATAACTGTATGCCAACAAATTGAATAACTTAGGTGAAATGAACAAATTCATAGAAAAACAAAACTGGCTGAGATGGAATCACAAAGAAATAGAAAATACGAATAGACCTATAAATAGTAAAGAGATTGGATCAGTATTAGAATTTGACAAAATTCAACATCCTTTCATGAAAAAATGCTCAAACTAGGAATAAAAGGAAACTACCTCAACATAATAAAGGCCATTTATGAAAAACCCACAGCTTACACCATTCTCAACTGTGCAAGACTGAAAGTTCTTTCTCTAAGGTCAGGCAGAAACAAAAGGTGCCTGCTTTTGCCCTTTCCACTCAAAACAGTATTGGAAGTTTGAACCAGCAATTACGCAAGAAAAAGAAATAAAAGGCATTTAAATTGTAAAGGAAAACATAAAATTATCTGTTTGCATATGATATGATCTTATATGTAGAAAACTCTAAAGATCCCACAAAAAAACTGTTAAAATTAATAAACAAATTCAACAAAGCTGTAGGGTACTAAATCAACATGTAAAAAATCCATTGTGTTTCTATATAAGAACAATGAACAATACAGAAAGGAAATTAAGAAATCCATTTACATTAGCATCAAAAAGATTAAAATATTTAGGAATTAACCAGGGAGGTAAAAGACATATACTGAACATCTACAAAAAACACTGCTGAGAAAAAAATAGACATAAATGGGAAGACATTCTGTGTTCATGGATTAGAAGACTTAATATTGCTGAGATGACAATACTGTCCAGAGTGATCTACAGATTCAGTGCAGTCCCTATCAATATCCCAATGACACTTTTGGGGCAAAAATAGAAAAATCTATCTTATAATTCATATTGAATTTCAAGAGACCCCAAATAGCCAAAGCAATCTGGAAAAAGAAGAACAAAGTTGGAGGATTCACACTTCATGATTTCAAATTTACTACAAAATTACAGTAATAAAAACGGTGTGGTGCCAGCATAAAGACAGGCATATAGACCAATAGAGTAGAAAGCCCAGAAATAACCCCTGCATATATGGTCAGATGACATTGACAAGAGCACCAAGACTATCCAACAGGGAAAGGACAGTCTTTACAAGAAATGGTAGTGGTGAAACTGGATATCCATCAAAAGAATGAATTTGATTTCTTATTTAACATGAAATACAAAAAATAAGCTAACAGTGAATTAAAGATCTAAGTGTGAGAGCTAAACCTAAAAAGCTCTTAGAAGAGAACATCAGGTGAAAGCTTTATGACATTGGGTTTGGCAATGATTTCCTGGATAGGAAACCAAATGCAAATGCAAAGAAGAGAAATAGATGAATTGGACTTTTATCAAAATTAAAAAATCTTGTGCATCAAAGGACACTATCAACAAAATGAAAAGGCAACAGACAGAATGGTAGAAAATATTTGTAAATCATATATCTGATAAGAGATTAACATCCAGAATAAATAAATATTACAACTCAACAGCAACAAAAAATCCAATTAAAAATGGCCAGAGAAACTGATTAGACATTTCTCCAAAGAAGACATACAAATGGACAATAAGTACATGAACAGATTAGATCACTAATCATTAGGAAAATGCAAATCAAAACCACAATGAGATACACTTAAGATGGCTATCACTAAAAACACACACAGACTCAATCCAAGCATCCAGAAAACAATGTTAGCAAGGATGGGGAAAAATTGGAATTTCTATACATTGCTGGCAGGAATATAACATGATGTAGCCACTGTCGAAAATAGTATGGCAGTTCACCAAAAAATTGAACAAAGAATTGCTATTTGATCAGGCAATTTGACTTCTGGGTATATACTCAAAAGAATTAAAAGCAGGGACTTGAAAAGACATTTCTACACTGTTGTTCACAACAGCATTACTCACAATAGGCAAAAGGTAGAAACAACCCAGAAATTCATGGACGGATGAATGATAAATGAATTATGATGTGTATATACAAGGGAATATTACTTAACCTTGAAAAGAGAACTTCTGGCCAAGATGGAGGCATAGGTAGATACACTTTGCCTCCTTGCACAACCAAAAGAAGGACAACAAATTTAAAAACAAAAAATAACCAGAACTGCCAGAAAATCGAACTGTATGGGGTCCGACAACCAAGGAGTTAAATGAGAAATATTCATCCAGGCTGGTAGGAGGGGCAGAGATGGGCAGCTGGGGTGGAGAGGATGCAAGGCAAGGTGGTGGCTGGAGGACCAGGCAGGCAGGCAAGGCAGTGGCTGGCAGACAGGGTGGTCCCACATTTGCATGCAGATAAATGGGAGGAACAGCTGGGGAGCAAGGCAGACCGCACAATCCAGGGTTCCAGTGCAGGAAAAGAAAGCCTCAAAACCTCTGGAGGTAAAAGTCTGAGAGGGTCGTGGTGGCACCAGAAACTCCCAGACTCACAGGAGAGTTGGTTGGAGAGACCCATGGGGTCCTAGAACATACACAAACCCATCCACCTGGGAATCAGCACCAGAGGGGCTCAGTTTGCTTGTGGGTAGCAGGGGAAGTGACTGAAAGCCAGCTGAGAGCCAAGCAAGTGGCATTGTTCCCTCTTGGACCTCCTCCCCCACACACAGCATCACAACGGAGTGACATAGGCTGCACCGCCCCCCCCCCCGCATCCCCCCGGCAAATACCTAAGACTCCGCCCCTCTCAACATAACAGGCGCAGAGACAAAAAAACATGGCACAAATGAAAGGAGAGATCAAAGCTCCAAAAGTAGAACTAAGTGATGAACAGATAGCCAACCTATCAGATGCACAGTTCAAAACACTGGTAATCTGGATGCTCACTGAATTGGTTGAGTATGGTCGCAAAATGGAGGAAAAAGTGAAGGCTATACAAAGTGAAATAAAAAAATATATACAAGGAACCAACAGTAAAGGGAAGGAAACCAGGACTCAATTCAACGATTGGGAGCAGAAGGAAGAGATAAACATTCAACCAGAATAGAATGAAGAAACAAGAATTCAAAAAAATGAGGAGAGGCTTAGGAACCTCTGGGACAACTTTAAACGTTCCAACATCTGAATCATAAGGGTGCCAGAAGGAGATGAAGAGGAAGAAATTGAAAACTTATTTCAAAAAATAATGAAGGAGAACTTCTCCAATCTGGCCAAGGAAATAGACTCTCAGGAGATCCAGGAAACTCAGAGAGTCCCAAAGAAGTTGGACCCCAGGAAGCACACACCAAGGCACGTCATAATTACATGCCTCAAGATTAAAGATAAGGAGGGAATCTTAAAAGCAGCAGGAAAAAGGAGACAGTTACCTGCAAAAGAGTTTCCATAAGACTCTCAGCTGATTTCTCAAAAGAAACCTTGCAGGCAAGAAGAGGCTAGGAAGAAGTTTTCAAAGTCATGACAGGCAAGGACCTATATCCAAGATTACTCTATCCAGCAAAGCTATCACTTAGAATGGAAGGGCAGATAAAGTGCTTCCCAGACAAGGTAAAGCTGAAGGAGTTCATCATCACCAAGCCCATTTTATTTGAAATGTTAAAGGGACTTACCTAAGAAAAAGAAGAAGATCAAAAACTATGAACAGTAAAATGACAACAAACAACTATTAACAAATGAACCTAAAAATAAACAAAAACAAACTAAGCAAACAACTAGAACAGGAACAGAATCACAGAAATGGAGATCAGAAGGGAGAGGGAGAGGGTGAGGGGAGAGTGGGGGAATAGGTACAGGGAATAAGCAGCATAAGTAGTAGGTACAAAATAGACAGGGGGAGGTTAAGAATAGAATAGGAAATGGAGAAGCCAAAGAACTTAATGATCCATGGACATGAACTCAGGGAGGGGGATGCTGGAGGGAGGGGTGGTGCAGGGTGGAGGGGAATAAAGGGGTGAAAAAATGGGACAACTGTAATAGCATAATCAATAAAATATACATTAAAAAAGGAATGAAATTGTGATATATGCTACTACATGATGAACCTTGAAGATACTATGATAAGTGAAATAAGCCATACCCAAAAGGACAAATATTATATGATTCCATTTATATGAAATACCTTGAACAGTCACATTCATAGAGATAGAAGTAGAGTGGTGGCTTACAGGGGTAGGTGGTGGGGGAGTGAGGAATTATTTAATGGACACAGTTTTATTGTAGTAAGATGAAAAAGTTCTGAAAATACATAGTGGTGATAGTTACACAACCACTGATATGAATGTACTAATGCCACTGAACTGCACACTTAAAGTAGTTAAAATGGTACATTTTATGTATATTTTATCACATAAAAATGGTAATAAAAAACCATGTGCAAGTTCACAGCAAATGCCACACCCAGGATAAGAAACAGTGTATGTGATTCAGAGACTGAGCTCTTAGCTGCTTTGTCATTCTGTAGTGCTCTCCTGATTGACATTCTGCCCCCGTGACTTATATCCATTTGGCACACCATTGGTAGAGCAATCATCCCAGGAAGATGTATGATGCGGCAAGGGGTCACTTACATTGAACATCCAGCCTGAGGGGCTCACTTTTGCTGGAGCTGACGGGGTTGGAGACCTCACACTGATAACCCCCAGCGTCCTCCCTCCGGACAGGCTCTATGGTGAGGGTGCTGTTGTCCTGGGACAGCTTCATCCTCTCTGTGAGCAGGAGACTCTGGTCATTGAAGAACCACCGGGTGGAGATCCCAGTGTCATTTGTGAGGCAGGTCAGGACCACAGTGTCCCTATGCTCTGTGACGGTGGTGTTGCTGGCTCGGACGGAGGGCTTCCCCACGGGCTCTGTGGAGAAACAGAGGAGGTGAGTGACTGAGAGTGGGCTCCTTCCCCAGGGATCTCAGCCACTCACAGTCCCTGGTGAGCTCTGATATGGTCACCAAAGGGTCCCCCTGACCTCTGCAGGATGAATAACTTTGTTCAGGTGACAATATGTAAGGAGAAGGCTAGTACCTCTAGATCACAGCAGGATGACCCCTGACCTGGTCCCCTGCATATCTGTAGCATCAGCACCAGGAAGCTCTTCTCAGCCCACATGTCCACAATCTTATCATTACGTGGAATTTTTCACCCACGGACTTTTGTGTGACTCTTTCTAGAGCTTTCTTTGACTTTCTAAATGATCAGGTGCCTCCCCCCCCCCCACCTTTAATATGGTGGCTATATCTAGAGGTGGGAAGGCATTTTTTTTTGTTAAATAATTTATAAGAGAGTGAGACTATCTCAACCATTCTTCACAACCTTAGAAACTGAAGAAATTCTAATCTAAAGAATTTCTCAATCTGAATAGGGCTTTCACTTCCTGGTCTATGGACTGCTTATCACAGAGAAGGAAATCGCGAGAGAGAAGCAGTCACAGTTGTTTTGTTTTAAAAAATTATTGATTTTAGTTATATAGAGAGAAATATCAACTTGTTGTTCCACTCATATTTGCAGTCATTGGTTGATTCTTGCATGTGCCCTACCAGTGATTGAATCCACAACCTTGGCGTATCAGTATGATGCTCTACCCAACTAAACTGATAAAAGCCTAGTACTTGTAGCCATCTCTGTAAACTACTTTTGGCACTGCTCCTTCTGTTCTATGACCTACTTGTCAAGTAAGCACCATCATTCAATGCTCTTCTTTGGAATATCACATACACTGGTGTCACACAGCGTTACACAGCTGGTGACTTCAGAGCCGGGATGCAGATCAGAGGTGTCCACTGCTCTGGTTTGCTTTCTTCCCACTCCCATGCAGCCTGGCCTGAGGGAAGCTCTGGTGTCAGTGGGTGGCAAAATTTGACCAGATTGAGGACAGGTTGCCCATACAACTCTTCCACAGGCCCCTGTCCCAGCACAGGTGGCAGCAGAGTCAGGCACCAGGTGAGCCTGGAGCAGAGCAGAGCAGAGAGCGGGGGTCTGTCCTGCCCTCCTTCCTTGGAGGGGGCTTCACCCTTCTATTTGGGGAAAAGGAGGTGAGCTTGATTCAAGGCCTCGTATGTTCCCTATAGCACATGGAGTAGGTCACAGAAAAGAAAGAGGTGACAGAAGGAATGAGTTAGTGACAGAAGAACTAACTTGGCCATGAGGCCCCTAGTTTTTCCTTCTCTGTGGAGCCTCCTCCAACACATGGGGCTTTCTGGGGCTGAGGGAACCTCCTCCTCACTTTCTGAGGCTGGACTCCAGCTCTGCCCTGAGAAATCAGAAGAGCCAGGGGAGGAGAGCTGACAGAGCTGTAGTGGGGGTTCAGGGGAGGAACTTGTGACTTGCTGCGTCCACGGCCACAGAATGGAGATAACATCCAGGCTCTTTTCTGAAAAGCAGACAGACCTCCACCCCAGAGCCTCGTGCCCATGGTCCAGGGGGCACTTACCAGACACTGTGATGTTCTTGACTGTGGTCCTATTGAGGCCAGTGACAGAGTTATGGGCATGGCAGGTGTAGGATCCACTGTTATTCACAGTGATGTTGGGGATAGAGAGCTCCTGTGTGAATAGCTGGGGTCTCCCATTGATAAGCCACAGATACTGTGCAGGAGGGTTAGAAGCCGCATGGCAGGAGAGCCTGAGGTTGGCCCCCAGTAGGTAATGGGAGTCTGAGGGGGAAATGGTGGGGGTGTCCGGACCATCTGGAGCAAACAGAGCAAAGACACACGTGATGTAATCAGAGGGAAGGGTTCTGTGTAAGGGCCACAGTGTCCCTCTCAGCTGGGCCCCAGCCTTGTTTTAAAAAGAAGTTCCAACCACAACCCCTGTGTTCACTGAGCCTGAGTCTGAGACATTAACCTGTTTGTCCCACCCCAAGGCCTGCCCAGATTTTCCTGGGACAGGAAGTCATGGTCAGCCTGGGTGTCCAGAGTGAGGGTCTGTGAACTGGGCCTGAGGGGGATGTAGCCTGGCCTCCGCCATGTGGATTTGGGTGGGAAACCTGGGCCAGGGAGGGACAGAAGTTACTCACAGAGAACATTCAGGGTGAATGGGTCACTGCGGCCGGCACTGACTGGGTTCCGGGTTTCACACTCATAGGGTCCTGTGTCATTCCTTGTGACACGGAGCAGAGTGAGAGTCCTATTGTCCTTCGACAGCTCCAGCCTGGCGCTCTCCTGGAGACTCAGACTGTCAATCAACCACAGGTAGGTGGTGTTCTGAGTGTGAGGCTCACACGTTAACATGGCAGGGTCCTTGTGCTCCTGGGGCTCGGAGTTGTTGCTTGTGATGCTGGGTTTGTGTAACTCCGCTGTGCAGGTAACAGAGAGAACATTGTCCTGTGTGGTACCTTTGATTCCTCCAAAGGCATCTTTAATCAGGGTGGACACCTCTCACCTCTCACCTCTCAGTCAACCTGAGGCTTTTAAAGAACAAGGCAGGTCTGTGTATCACACACAAACAAATGCATGAGGATCTGAGCACTCAGAGAATGCAAGGCCTCCAGCGCTGTGTCTGGGAGAAAGCTCAGGCTTTCCCAGGTGTCAGCTAAGTGTCTGGTTTGATCTTAGAAAGACATAGGCCTAGGAGTCAGAGACCATGGGACACCTGACCTGGTGCTTCACTGACCAGCTGACTGCCAGACCATCCCTTAGGGTCTCACCTGAATGTGTGGGTGAAGAGTCCCTTCAAGCTACACAGACCTACATTGCCAAGTCCACGGAAGCCTCACATTCCAGGCTTATCCTAGAGATGAGTCACGAAGGGCCATCCCATAGTCCTTAGACCTTGATGAGACTGGGCAGTGTAACCTGGGAGTTTGAGCAGAAACAATACATGGGGAGACCAGGAGCTGGTCTGGTGGTCAGTTCAGGACTCGGGCTGCAGGGCCATGAGGTGGGCAGTGTGTCCAGGAGTTCATTGGTGACTGACATGAGACAGTGACCCCAGAAAGGGCAGAGCAGAGTCCAGGAATGATTTAGACACGGGTGAGGGATGGTAGGAGCCGGCTGGCTTTGGCTGCAGAACCGGGCTCCCTGCCCTTGGTCTTTAGTGTCCCTTCTCCCACTGCAGCGGGCAGGGGTCCTCCCACAAACACTCGGACAACAGCAACTACAGAAGGCGTGACTTGTGGGAAGTGCTGGGGCTTGAACTTGCTGAAAATATGGCCCTCGCGGACCATTTGTGATTGGCCTTATGAGACAGAACTTTGAGTTAAATTGTGAAAGAATATGTGAAAATATTATTCATGCCAAACATCTAAGACTAGTTTCCGGAGGAATCTCTGTCTAGGGAACACTCAAGTTTTCAGACCAGTTCTTTAGTCCAACCAGGGTCATACTATGATCAAAGGAAGATGTTACAGTGGGTTTGAAATCAGTGACTCCCTGGGGGGAGAGAGCCTGTGAGTCCTGCTGAGAGGACAAAAGTGATCAGAGGGCACGGGTAGGTGTCTCTGTTGCATAAAGGGAGGAAGGATACCATATTGGTGGAAAAGATATGTGTTATGTCACTGCATTTAGGAAGAAGGTTCCTGTCACCAGTTCCTATGGACAGTCAGGGAAGTGGGGAGAAGCTCCCACACGAGCACGCGGCTATGCTCTTCCTTTTCTTTCTAACTCAGGAAACAAAACTGGAGTGTAATCAAATTCATTCAAATTGGATGGCATCTAAGAGAAAAGACAGAGGCAGGTGGACCTCACCATCTGAGAGGATTCCACCTATAGCAAAGGTGTCATCATCAGGACAAGCATGTGTGACACAGGCAGTGAACCATACAGATGGTACAGGGTTACCCGCCCCACCTTGAGAAGGTTCCGGGAGCCACTTGGAGGAATAGGAGCCTCACAGCAGGACACAGATGTGAGTCATGAGTGAGGTGTGAAGTGAGCCCATGAGCTTTTGGGACTGAGACATGTCCTTCGCCTTTGACTCCTGGTAGAGGCATATAGAGAGTAGATAGATGCTTTACATGTCCCTGTCATGTGGCCTGCTCCTTTTGTTGGCATCAGGGAGAGAAGGAGCCTGGGTGGGGGCACATCAGAAGCCCTTTCCCCTGGTGACCTGGGAACCTGGCTCATGATGGAAACGGGGCTGCTGCTCTGACTGGCTTCTGTGTCCTTTCCTAGTGCCCAGGGGGGTGGGCCTGGACACAGGTGTGAGCAGGAGAATCCAGGGAGACTGCAGGGTGGGGGAAGCAGAGCAGAGCAGGGCAGTGGGGCTGGAGTGAAGAGGAGGAAGATGAGGGACACGGAAGGAGCAGAGAGAGCCAGAAATGTGTCCTCGGTGCACAGTGAGGGTCACAGGTGACTTGAAAGATCCCAGGGACCACGAGCCAGGGCTGCCCCAGGGAAGGACCAGTGCAGCTGGGAGACCCCCCTAGTGGCTAAGCAGCCCCACAGTCACCTTGAGACTTTACTCATTGGCGGGGAGGGCGGGGGGGAGGGCGGGGGGAGGGGAGGTTTTAGGGGCAGGCGGTCAGGGGATGGAACATGGGTCTCAGCCCCTGGAGGGAGAGGGTATACAAGTGTGGCCAAAACCTCTTAGGGCTCTGCATCTGGGTTTTATTCTCTATAGAGATTATGAATCATTCATTCATTTGCCATAATTCTTTCATTCGCCATAATTCTTTCATCCTTCATCAGAAAAAGTTGGGTATTTGTTACATGTAGGTCTCTGAGCTGGTTGCAAGTGTAGAGTGGGGAGTGAGAAGACAAAGTCCTTTCCTGCATATCTGCTGGGTGTGATACCAGCACATCAAGAAACAAGCGATCTGCAGTACAGTCGAGGGCAGGGAGGTGTGCATCGGCCACCTGACGGGGAGGCCTGGGCGCCCCAGCACGGACTCTGATTGTTACTGCAGGATATGTGGTTCTGGAGTGAAAACAGATTAACCCTCCTTTTGCTTTCACTCCCCATGCCAGAATCTCTCCCTCTGAGCTGGCGACTAAGCCTGAACCTGAAGGTGTCAGGGTCTGCGTTTGCACGGCAAGGCCCTTGGAGTGGAGGAGAGGGGGGGCCGTGGCTGCAGACAGATCTTGGTGTGACTCAGATTGGACGGCCCTGGTCTGCGTGACTCTGAGAGAGTGTGCCCCCTGTCGCTCGGTCTCCCCTGAGTAAAACAGGAGAGGTGGTAAATGGTCTCAGGTTGCCAGGTTGCCTGTGAATGAACCTTAAATCTTTCCCAATGTCCTGGCTGAACTAAAGTTTGGAGCAGAGGGGCTGCCCAGCTAACGGCCTCTGTTATCCTTGGTGTCCCCGAGAGAGGACTCCCTGGCCTGCTCCCTGGTGGACGAGGCGCTGTGAGCAGCATCTTCTCTGTTGCTCCCTGAAGACGTGCTGACCTTCCTCTAGAGTCTCTTACGTCGCCCAGGACAGGTAGCTACTGGCCTGGGGGCCTTGTCCACATGTGCTCTCCACTCATAGTCTCAGGTGAAGGACCCCTCCCAGAGGTGGCCTTTGAGGCTGATCCCTGGCTGGTGACCAGCTCAAGAGTGACTCGTGCACCCAGGAAACCATTGCTCCAAGTCAGCCCTTCCCAGAACAACAAACTCAACCAGTCACGGGCGCCCCAACGTCCCTGGAGTCAGGATCCTGGGAGAGGGGTCTGGGGAGGGGCTGACCAGGCTGAGCTTCTCTGTGAAGATCCCAGGGGACCCTCAGTTCAGGCCCTGATTGAGCCGTGCAGGGTCTGTCTCAGGGTCATGGTCATGGGGAGGGGCCCAGGAAGCTGCACTGAGACTGGTCTCCCTCTGCTGAGCCTCTCCCATCAGGCTGGCCCTTCTCTCTGCGGTGGATGTCTGCAGGGCTGGAATCTGGGCAGGGAGCTCTGATCTTAGGAAGTTTGTCTCCACTGTGTGTGTCCCACTCTAAATGCCCAACCCCAGCCTGGGACATGATGCAGAGGGGGGCGGGGGCCGAGTCCAGGGCAGCCAGTCCTGTGTGTGAGGCAGAATTCACCCACCCGACACCCAGAGGCCACAGAGGGATCACTCACGGTACACACGGAGCTGTCCAGTTGCTCTGAGAGTTGATAAATGTTTTGTGATGATTTGTAGGGTATAGTATCCTGTGTCCTTCAGGGTGACGTTCTGTAACAGCAGGGTGCCATTGGGGTATATCGTCTCTCGACCGCTGTATGCAGGCCCCCGGGTAGTTTCTTGATTGTCTATTCTATATGATGCAATTTGCTTGCTGGTGTCCACATTTTCTGCTCTGAACCATTCATATTTTCCAAGATCCTCAGGCAGATTGTGGACAAGGAGAAGAACATCCTTCCCTTCAGCAGCATCGGGCGGCACTGACTCAATAGTGAATTGGGCAGTGGTGGGCGGGCTCCAGAAGGTGAAGAGTGAGCCTAGGAGGGAGGGAGAAATCAATCAGTTTGGGGGTCTAGATATTGGGAATATAGGGCCCTGGGTTCTGAGAAGTCTCTTCATCTCTCAGCCTCTGTGTGTGTGTGTGTGTGTGTGTGTGTGTGTGTGTGTGTCCCATGGTCAAGGTCAGCAGCACGGCCACCATTACTTCGGCACCTCTTTTATTTCTTCTGTTTTGAAAACTCTTCTCCAGGTGTCTGCCCGGCTCACCCCCTCAGGGCCCTCAGACCCCTGCTGACTCAGGGGCGACCTTGGGAAACACCTTCCCTGACCACCTCCTTAACAACACTCTCTTCACTCTCTGACCTGTCGCTGCTCTGTTCCCTTGGCCCTCACATCCAGATCTTTCCTGGTCTGTCGCCCCCTCCATGGAACACGACTCCGCGCAGGCAGGGGCTTGCCTGGCCTTGCTGCACCCCCAGTGCCTGCAACAGGCTGCGAGCACCTCTGGGTGAGCGAGCGAGTGACCCCAGGGTCCTGCACCTCCTGGGCTGTATTTGCTTCTTTCTCAGGTTGGTGGTAAGAAAAAAGTTTAGTGTCCTTGGTTTTTCCGGTGTCACACTGACATAAATTGTTATTGTTATCATCAGTTTTAAGAAGTTATTTCTTAGTGATGAACACCTTGTAAAACTTACTGTAGTCAAGGTTCTCCTGCCCCTGACCACTTCCAGATCATGAGATTTCCCTGTTGCTGAGCTCCCTCCCCCTCCTACTCTGCTCCCCTGTCCTCCTCCCTCGGGCCCAGACAGGAGCCCTCTGTCCCCTCTCAGAGCGCTGTCCTCCCCAGGGGACCCAGCCGATCTCCGTCTCCAACCTCCCGTCCACCCGCAGGGTTTGCCCCTCCTTACCGGCCAGCAGGAGTCCCTGCCAGGGAGCGCGCCCTCTGCGGGCGGGGACTGAGGGGGACCCCATGGCACCTGCCGCCTGCCTCCTGCTCTGTCCTTCCCTCTGTGACAGGGGCTTGGCTTCCAGAAATGCTCACGGGCACCGCTGTCCCGAGTGTGCGATCTGCAGTCTGTTTCCAGGTGTGGCGCCCGCTCGCTCGGGGTCCAGAGGCTCCCCAGTCACGTGGTCCGGGGCGGGGTCTGTGCCCAGGTCCTTCCCTCTCCCTTCCCCCATTCTGGCCTCCCCAGTTTCCTCCTTTTCCTTTATCTTCCGTTTAGATCTCAGACGCTGGGACCCTCTGAGGCCTCTGCCTTTGTCCGAAGCGATTCTGCACCCTCCATCCCCGACCCTCGTGCGCGCGCAGGCACCACCTGTCTGGACCCGCGCAAGCCTGGGACCGCGGGGCGGGGGCATTCCTCACAGCCTCACGTTGAGGGCGCAGGAGCCTCCCCTCCAGCCTCTCTTATCTCTTCGGGCTCCCCCCCCGCCCCAAAAGCAGGAGTCCGGGGGCGACATCAGGAAAACTTGTCACAGGGATGTCGCCCCGTTCGTTGTTCATCGGATCACCTGTGGAACTTGGTAAAGGTTGTGATGCCCAGGTGACTCCGTAGAAATGCTGCTTCACAGCTGTCCAGTAACGTGGATGCCCCGCCAGACTGAGACCCCGTGATGTGGGGGTGGGGCAGCCCCCCTCTCCTGTGCATAGGGAGGGCCCGCCCGCCCGTCCTGTTACAAATGCGGATTCTGAGTCGGCAGGTGCGCCGTGGGCCAGAGACTCTGCATCGGACAAGCTCTCAGGGAAGGCTGACCTTGCTGGCCTGTGGCGCTCATATTCTTTCCTTTATTTTTTCATTTACCAACTATTTATTGAGCTTATACTGCTTTCTGAGCCCCTTTTTGGAAAGTGGGCATTAATTAGCAGTGAACAAAACAAGTGAGAATCCAGTGCTTACTGATAAATCCATCAGAATGTTTCACTGGACATTTCTTGTAAACATCCCTATCTGTTGGGTAGAAAAGCTACAGGAGCGCGGGACCGCGCTTCCAGTAGCAAGGCTGGGGGCGGCCCCTTCCCTCCCCTGAGAGGACAGCGCTCTCTCCCCAGCTCTGGGCTCTGCTGTGTGCTGGTTTGGGATCTGTCAGCATCGCACGGAGGGCCCGTGGGCCCCAAACCTGGGATTATTTCTGTTTGTGACACTAAACCCAGCTGGTCCCTGGGTCTCCCCCAGGTCCTCAGATGCCCTGGGGAGGCTGGGTTTCCTCCCAGCAGGAAGGTCACAGAGGTGACTCTGGGGTGAGAGAGGGGCAAGCTGGGTGATGACTGGTGTCACCAGCCTGGCTTTTGCTTCTAAGGGCAGAGACCCAGGACTGGGTGTCTCCGAGGGACCTGAAGTTACTGGGTGTGGAGGGAGAGGTGTCGTGCGTGTCCTGGCAATAAAGACGCTGGTGGGCAGTCTGGTGGCTGTGGGCTCCCTGGTCCTCAGGGGGCAATTTCAGGGAGACCCTTGCCCTCCGTGCCTGAGGCTGAGCCTGTCCATGTGCTCCCTGACCGTGGGGGCGGCCTCTGTCCTCCGGAAGGACTTCGCTGTGGTCGCCCAGGCTTGCCCACAGGTGGTGCCCGGCAGGGAGTGGGGAGCAGCACCGGGGCCCCTGGCGGAGCAGGTGCTCCCAGGCCCCCAGAAGGAGCAGGCGGGGCAGAGCAGGCATGTGGGAGGGGCCTACAAAGGTCTGTGGTAGGGAAATCAGTCCCTTTTTCTACCTCTTTAGACAAAGCCAGGTTCTTGTGTTAGTTTCCAGGGTGTCGTCTGTGTGACTCAGTGTTGCCACCTGGAGGGTATGAAGGAGACCCGCGGCCACTGTCAAGGGGCGGCACCAGGGATGCTGACCAGGCTCCAGAGGGCAGGAGCGGACCCTGAACCCCTGGGAGAGATGGGCTCTGACCGCCAGGCTGAGCGGCCAGTGAGCTCAGCCCTGGTCTCTGGCTTCCCGACTCCGTCCCAGTGCAGCGTGAGCCCCATGAGGACAGGCATTGTCCAGGGGAGTCCTGATCCAGGGAGATGTGTTGTCTCAGGAGGAGCTCTTAGTCCCCGAGGTTTCGAAGGAGGGTCCAGGTGAGGGGTCTCTTGAGTGTTTCAGGAGAGGGATCAAGCCTGGGGGGCTGGTCCACAGATTGCCATGTGTGTCCCCACCGCAAGTCATCTGTGTCCCTGCCTGTCATCTGCTCGAGGCCTCCACACAGGGCCCAGGGGCTGGAGCAGCTCCACATGGAGACTCAGCCAGGGGATGGGGAGGCCCCTGTGCAACCCTCAGCCCCTCCGAGATGGAAGGAGCCCCGATCCTGGGTCCTCCTGTCCCATTCTGCGCGGGAAGCCCCCCCTTGTTCCCCAGGACACCACGGGCTGGCTGGCGAGATGTTTTCCGGGGACCACAGGCAGGTGTCCCCAGGGACCAGGGACCCTGAGGATGGGAAATCACCCCCCTGACTTATCTGTGGTCAGGACGGACTCCCTCCTTCCCTGGTGCTGACTCACCGGGGGTGGGGAATCCAGAGTTTGTACCAGGTCAGGTCTCTGAGAAGAGGAAGGACTCGGGCTGTCTGCCCAGCTCCCTCCCCAGGAGATGCCCTCACAGGGAAGAGCGGGGAGGACTGTGGTTTTCTGGGAATGAGGGAGGTTCCAACCCCCCACTCTTAAGAGGTCCTGGTCCTTGATGACTCTAGAAAGGGTGAAGGCCTGTCCCTGGGACAGCCTCGGGCACCAGTGACCTCTTCCTGTGCTGACACCCATGTCTGTGTGACTCTAAGGAACAGGCTCTGATCCCAGGTGTCCACAGAGGGAAGGACATAGGGGGCTCCGTGCTCATGGAGTTTACCTTATAACAGAGAGACTGTCACTCAGTGTAATCATGGAACTAAGGAGTTAATTATTGAGAGAAGGGCCGTCAAGGGCCAGTGTCCATGTCTGGAGCATGCCCTTGAGCCTCACAGGTCTGGGGATCACAGAGAGCCCTTCTGAGGAAGTGGCCTTCTGGCTGTGACTGGTGCGTGAGTGGGCATTCACCCCTGGAAGGACGTGGGGGGTGTGCTGAGAGCAGCTGCCTGCAGAGGGCCGGCCTTTGCTTGGCAGACACGTGACTGGATAGAGGAGCAGCCAGAGTCCCATGTGGGCAGCTTGGAGAGTGAGGGGGACTGTGGGCTGAGTGATGCTGGTGAGGGTCAAACTCGGCTGGTCTGTGGGTGCCGCTGCCAGGGAGGAGGTGAGGAAGGCAGGGGTTCAGCAGCCCCCTGGGGTGGCTCCTGACAGTGGAGCATATCTGCCGTCCTCTGATGGACAGGGATGGAAGTGTACCAGTCACCATGTTTATTTGACACCACTCCGTAGACATTTCCCGTGTGTCAAAGATATCATGTTTATGCTCCATCACATTCCAGGTCTGTGAGTCCACGTCTCTGTTCCTGTAAGTACACTGGCCCTGCCTCTTCCCTCAGTGAGATGTTACCAGGCTCATAGTTTGTTTGTCTCCAGCAAGTTACGCTGTGGGTGCCCCTGGGTGGAGTGGTGTGTGGGGCTGCAGGGCTGGGTGGTGGGTCTGTGGGCAGAAGGAGGCGCAGGGAACCAGGCGCGTCAGGAGGGGAAGGTGTGTGTCAGGGGAGCAGAGGGGGCAGGATGGACAAGTCATCGTCCCCTCTCACTCCCAGGGCCTGGCGCCCAGGAAGGGAACCCTGACCTGGGGACACACAGCGGCACACACTGCCCCCTGATCCTGACCAGGCAGTGGGAGCTGCTTCCTGTGCAGTTCCTCATGGCCTGGGCCTCACGTGGGCCCTGTGCCCGTGGCTGAGCTGTCGGGTGTTGAGGCCCCATGGGCCAGGGCCGTTGTTGGCGCTCTCTGTCCACAGAAGCTGTGAATGGTGAAGTCCTTGGTGCTGAGATTGCTTCATACACACAGTCCCACCCAGGGCCTAGGCAGAACCCCCAAAATGCTTGTGTGCCTCCCGTTTTCCCCTCCCCATTCCTGTGTGTTTTCCTTGCACCACCTTTTCCCTGGGCCTCAGTGGGCAGGTTCAGCCAGTGCTTCACCTGTTCCCGTTCCAGGCACTGCCCTTGTGGTTGCTGCCCCCTCACCATCTCTGGGCTCAGCAGCCTCTCACTTGTTCTGACCCCTGGCCCCAGTGAGGGAGGAAGGATGGATCTGAGGTAACGCTCTCCAAGGTTTGCCGTCTCTGGATAGCGTGAGAGTGAGGGACCCCTGTGTGCCAGTGGAGTCATTGTGGCATCTCCAGGTGGAAGCATTTTTCATTTAATAGAACTAAGCTTTTAGACCAACAGAGCACGATGTCTTGATGACAGGGAGCTGAATATTTGCTAGGGGATCATTAGAGGTACGAATGAGTGGTGCCACTCCTGTTTCCACCCGTTGATTCCTGGACCTGTGATCCCTGCCTCTAGAGGAAAGAGTATCCCATGTTCAGAGCATATACGGCTTCCTGGAGTACCTTCCTCCAGCCCTGCATGGTACGGTCACCTAACTGGTGCTGTTGCTGAGTTTCCAAAAGGCCACTTCACTTTTCTATCAAGCCAGCTGTTTCAGGATGGGAAGACCAGTGACCTGCACAGGCAGGGACCCACTGCTGCATTTCACTTGCTGTGAAGTGAGGCCCTCGACCAGAAGCAGGGCTGTGTGCAGCACCATGATGTAGGACAGGCCACCTATGAGTCAGTGGATGGCAGCTTTTGCAGCAGCATGTGTGCAGGGAAGGCAAATCTGTATCCAGAGTGAGTGTCTATTCCAATAAGACCAAAACGCTCCTGTTCCATGAGGGAAGTGGTCCAGGGTGATCAACTGCCACCAAGTAGCCTCTCATCAGCTGAGGACTGGTGCCTGTCAGGGGCCCAGTGTTGGTCTCTGAGCTGACAGATAGGTCACTTAGTGGTGTCCACAGCCCGGCTGGTGTTGGTGACTGGAAGTCCATGTTGCTGAGCCCGTGCATAACCTCCATCCCTGCTCCCATGGCCGCTTTGTTCTGAGCCCACCAAGTGGTGACAGGGGTTGTTTCCTATAGAACAGGTCATCCTGCCCACGTAATCCTTAAAACCCTCCTCCCCTGAGGCCAAGTGTGAGCATTCAGACAGGTCTATGCACACACTTCTTC